TACTGTGCATTTATTGCAAAAAAGGAGTCTGGACACCTTTATCAAATTTACGCAAATGTGGTTTACAGTTGCTAGTACTATTTTATATAAACCTTTTTCATTGAACTTCATGACAATACACATTTTATTCAGTTTGCTATTTAAGATATTTTTGTTTTGTTATTTTATTGTATGATGTATATAGCATATCATTCATGTGATTCTTTGTGTCAGCTATCTTTTGTTAGTTACTGTGAGGGCCCCCTCTGGTGCCAGAAAAAAAAATCCCATTGGCTCACAAGCTTGTCAAAGTTCAAAAAATATATATAAATAAATAAATAAATAACTTTGAATCAAATGGAAATCTCTTGACTCTCAATTATCCAGTAGTACACTAAATTAAAACAACAACAACAACAACAACATTAGTGTAATAGTATCGTAATGTGATATTTCCAACATTTCACCAATAGATGAACTGTTACAAGATATTTTAAAAACAAACATCAATTTAGCACGTAGGTACTATGTTGTAAATTGGTTTTCATGCTTCAACCAGTTTGCACTTTCAACCATCTTTTTGAATGTGTAAAGTGAAAAGGCAGACGTGTTAAAGGTTATATAACATTTATAAGTGATGAAGCTTCATATACAGTAGGTACTAAGTTAGTATACATCATAAAGGCCTTCAATGCACAGTATAAATTGTAATAGATGTAGTCATTCAGATAAGACAAAACTGACAAATGCAGGTATGTGAAATGCTCATCACACAAGAAGTATTTCATGCATGTCATGCATGGCATCGCCAGTTTTAAAAGTGATGATTGGTGTAGCTCAACAAACGTTATTCATATAGTATTGCTCATAGCTAATCAAATCTTTTTAAGTGATTCTTCCCACAGCTGAAAGGCAAACAAAGTTTGTTGTGGTTTTAGTTTCATCCAAAACCTATGTACAACAAAATAAAAGCATCATATAAATTAGATAATTCAGTCAAAGATTAGGTCATTTGATCATAGACATAGATCAAATTCTGCATAATCGAGATACTATTGGCATAATCCAGTCCATTTTCTTATTCTATCTAGGATGGGACGAGGCAGAGGAAACAGTTACGTCAAGTTGGACATGAGTTAAACCATTCCTCAGGATTCCCAGGCTGGCTGACTGTGGCCCATTTTCAAAATGATATTACTTTCAAGGTTTTCCACATCCTCTCATGGGATGTTTCTTTCTCCAACTTTTGTGTAAGCGTATACTGTACAGGTATGTGCAACCCAATGTACCAGTAGATGGTGCTGTAGACCAAGCATTGGCATTATACTACTGAACGCTGTAGATTCATGCACAGAAGATGAATAACAAATGTCATTTTCCTAAAAATGGAATTAAAATGAAAGACGTTCTAAAGAACATTCCAACTTTTTAAAACCACTGATGTGCCTCCTCACCGCAGTTCAAATGCTGTGAGATAATCAATGGAAATTGTCCTACATTTTTGAACAGGTATGAGTGGGTATGTATGTCACTTTTACATGATTTCCTAATTACAAATATCTCAAATAAGCGAACAAAATGAAAGTTTAAAGTGTTCTACATTGAGATCCTATAGGGTATTTAATTGCCCTTTTCTCAGTTTAATTTTAATTCATTAAAATTCACAAAACAGTTTTGATACAAACAGTCAATCTGTCCATTTAAAGTCAACCTCAACTGCTTTCAGAAAACTTTACTTTCAGTATGAATCTTCAGCCGTGATGTCACGTTCGTGTGTCTGAAAACCTAGAGAACTGTCTAGCTAGGGCTGCGTTCCAGTCCATTTTGTATGCCCTTGACTCGCAAACTTCCCTGCGTCTCGTTTACTCGGATGTACGACATTGATTACGCGTAGGTACTAAGTTAGTATACATCATAAAGGCCTTCAATGCACAGTATAAATTGTAATAGATGTAGTCATTCAGATAAGACAAAACTGACAAATGCAGGTATGTGAAATGCTCATCACACAAGAAGTATTTCATGCATGTCATGCATGGCATCGCCAGTTTTAAAAGTGATGATTGGTGTAGCTCAACAAACGTTATTCATATAGTATTGCTCATAGCTAATCAAATCTTTTTAAGTGATTCTTCCCACAGCTGAAAGGCAAACAAAGTTTGTTGTGGTTTTAGTTTCATCCAAAACCTATGTACAACAAAATAAAAGCATCATATAAATTAGATAATTCAGTCAAAGATTAGGTAATTTGATCATAGACATAGATCAAATTCTGCATAATCGAGATACTATTGGCATAATCCAGTCCATTTTCTTATTCTACCTAGGATGGGACGAGGCAGAGGAAACAGTTACGTCAAGTTGGACATGAGTTAAACCATTCCTCAGGATTCCCAGGCTGGCTGACTGTGGCCCATTTTCAAAATGATATTACTTTCAAGGTTTTCCACATCCTCTCATGGGATGTTTCTTTCTCCAACTTTTGTGTAAGCGTATACTGTACAGGTATGTGCAACCCAATGTACCAGTAGATGGTGCTGTAGACCAAGCATTGGCATTATACTACTGAACGCTGTAGATTCATGCACAGAAGATGAATAACAAATGTCATTTTCCTAAAAATGGAATTAAAATGAAAGACGTTCTAAAGAACATTCCAACTTTTTAAAACCACTGATGTGCCTCCTCACCGCAGTTCAAATGCTGTGAGATAATCAATGGAAATTGTCCTACATTTTTGAACAGGTATGAGTGGGTATGTATGTCACTTTTACATGATTTCCTAATTACAAATATCTCAAATAAGCGAACAAAATGAAAGTTTAAAGTGTTCTACATTGAGATCCTATAGGGTATTTAATTGCCCTTTTCTCAGTTTAATTTTAATTCATTAAAATTCACAAAACAGTTTTGATACAAACAGTCAATCTGTCCATTTAAAGTCAACCTCAACTGCTTTCAGAAAACTTTACTTTCAGTATGAATCTTCAGCCGTGATGTCACGTTCGTGTGTCTGAAAACCTAGAGAACTGTCTAGCTAGGGCTGCGTACCAGTCCATTTTGTATGCCCTTGACTCGCAAACTTCCCTGCGTCTCGTTTACTCGGATGTACGACATTGATTACGCTGCACGAGTGCCCACTTCTGGCGGAACCCTTGGAATGGGCTGAACTGGAACACCCTAAGCACTTGATCACTTAGAATCCGCTATGGAGTTGGTTTATTGTTTACATGTTTCCCCTTACGAATTTGTTTGGTGCAGCATTCTATATGCATAGATATGCTTGGGCTGTTATAAATGTAAAAAAATAAATAATAATTTATATATTATAGAGTTGTTTGGGGTGGGGACGTCATAGTCGTGTTGCATTGTGGTCTATGGAGCGGCCTGAAGTGTGCATATGAAGCAGACTCGCTCCCTCGGTCAAAATCGAGGGGTCGAGGGTCTGTCCATGTAAACTTCCCTGGTCCACTTGAGAAGTGGAATGCACTTCAAAATGGCGGCGAGGTTTCCCCCCCCCAGGGGAAGTGCTTAGGGACGTTCGCGAGTGCATGTCTAAAAGTGGAGTAGAATCCCTAGACAGCTGCCTGAACGCGTTTGTGGTGCCCAAGCATGCTGTCTATGTAGCAGTGCTGCCAGACGTACGATAATTATCGTATTTGTACGATAATTTTGACCTCTGTACGATGTACGATCAATAATGAAAAAAATCCCATAATGTACGACAATTTCGACATTTCAGAACGTGTTTTTTCCAAAGTCAACCTCATCAAAACAGAGCCATGAAATTGGCTCATTACAGATGCTCTAAATGGGTTGGTGCACACCTCAGGACCCTCAAGCAGGATTCTGATGACAGCGACTCAGAGGGGGAGTTTGGACCTTCCCACAAGGTATGCCGATGGCCCTATGATTTCCGCGATGCGGAAAACACGGATGGAATTGTGGGATCCAGTCAACGGAATTTACTGTGTAATGCGGAATGTCAGGTAATTTGTCAAAGTTTGGATAAATTAATCAACAGAAGGTCATTGCACTTAAATTGTGATATGGACTAGTATCTGTAAATATTAAGCCGCAAAAAGGCTATTTAAATATAAATCCTGCGTGTTCTGTGTCTGTCTGAATCATGTCTAGGTCTGAATGAATGTCACACGGTTTTGTTTACTACACACATACTGAAGCGCCAGTGAGCTCAATCTGCCGTCTCACTAAATAGGACATAATAAATACATGAACAACATCCCCAGAACTGCTCTGAGAGTCAAAAATATATAGTTTCTGCCAGAAATGTATTACTATTGTTCAGTAGAATGTACGTACAACCACTACAACTAAAATTATTAAGGAATAATCACAATATTTCTTCCATGTTTTAATTTTAATTGTAAATCCCCTTTGTTTGCCCAAAAATAAAATTAGTTTAATTTTCATTAATTAAAAGATCAATTAAATGTATGTGTTATATGCCTTCATTCGATAACCAGAAAAATTAAAAGACATAACGCAGAATTTCTAAAGAAAAAAAAAAAAACATTTCATAAGGCTATAAACAAAAGTAGTTTTTATGCATTCAAATAATTAGACATATTAAAACACAGAATTTGGTAACAATAAACAAGATGAAAAAAATTTGATGTTGAAGTGTATATGTTTCATTATTTAATTAGACGCGCTTTTGATTAATACAATTTAATTTAACCATTTAAAAAGGAGTCCAGAGAAAAATTGAAATGGAAAAAAAAAACAGAATCCAAAAAAATGTAAATTTGGAATTTAAAAAAATGGAATTTGGGAAAAAATAAAACGTATTTCATAGGGCCCTAGCATAGTTATTTATTTATTGTGGTAATTTGAAGGTTGTGTCAAAAAGTTGTTGTTTTAGTCTAATAGATAAATAGCTGTATTCTGTACGTTTTTACTCGTGTACGGTAATTTTCTTCCAAATACGATAACTTTGAGCTTCTGGTACGATACTTGGACATTTCCAATCTGGCAACACTGCTATGTAGGCAGCTTACTAGGATTTGACACGCATCCTTCGTCTTCCTGTCTCAAAGCGACCAGAAGAGCTCGACAACGTCCGACACAAGACACATTCTCCTGGCTTATTCAAAACTGTTAAGGTAAGTCCCCTTAACTTTACTGAATTACCCTTACAGTGTCCGTCACGAAGGCCTGTCTTTAATAGAGACACGAGCTGGATTCACTCAATTCTGTCTCGGAGGATTTTCTCTTGATTTTGTGCGAAATGGCGGAGGCTCGAAGGAGGAAGTTAGACGCTTCTGCCTTTCATCGTTTAAAAATGTTTTAATGCTTTTCTTCATGCAAAAACTCACGAACTTTCAAAAGACTGTTACTATAAATGTCTAAAAGATAATTGAGAAATCAAGTCGTTGGGAAAAGGATTTTCTTGCACACATCTCTTGGATGTGAAATGTGTAAGAAAAAAGTTATGTTTCTCTACATATTATATGTAACATTAATTAAATAGCAATCATTTATTCAGTTGCTCAACTTTTACATTTGCCTTGAGTGTGCAAGGATCTTCTGTAGTACAGTCCACATGCCCTTCATATACAGTACATAAATGCAAAGTCTATTGTCACGTGTTTAATATCTATCCTCGAAAGCCTTTATGTAATGAAATGGAAATAGTGTTTCATAGCAACAGCCTTTTATGTATTGCGTGTCTCTTGGTGTTAAAAGTGCAGAGGGGTCCCTGACAGGTAATCAGGGGTCTGTTTGCAGTGGGCTGAGCAACAGGTCCAGAACTTGCAGTCTCCACAGTCCCTGAGTTTAGACTTTAGCAGGACTTACTCAGGCCAAAAGCATCTTGTTCATGTGTGGGGGCGTGAGTGAGTCACTGCTTAATGTCTCAATGTGTGTGTGTGTGTGTGTGTGTGTGTGTGTGTGTTTCAATCTGTTTTCCTTTAAGGCAATACACTACAAGCAAAACTGTTTTTTTTCATGCACTGGTCAATTTTGAGGCTATTTTGTTTCCATAACACGTCTTTTTCTTTCAGACTAGTAGAAAACAAGCATCCAAAATACACATTCAAGTGTTTAATTTATTACCCTTTATTTATTTGCATCTGTAGATTTCAATTACAATAGATATCTTGAAAGGATTTTTTCTTAAAATGATTTTTTCCCCCCTCATGCCAATTCACTTACACCAAACTCTACAGTTTTATTCCTATCTTTATTCCAAGCTGGTTGTTCATCTATTATTCGCCTGGTTTATATGAATTTTTATTCTTAAAACATGGGGATTTTTTTTATTTTATTTCTCGGATGTTGACAGTATTTTCTGATTTATGGAGTGATTAATTTAATATGTCAAAAAAACTAAAACGTGAATGTTGAACCTGGATTTATCCAATTTTCTGTATCCGTTTTGGAAATGTATGCAAATTAGTTCACTTTTAAGATATTTCCTAATTTGCATATGTAAACATCATTTCAGAAAACTTGCAATACAAAAATGCAATGTGATTGAATTAACTGGGAAAGTAGGGTGATATTTATTAGTTTTACCCTATTCACCTGTAGTGTCTTGTGTTAAGTTGGAAAATTGGTTTTCATGCTTCAACCTGTTTGCACTTTCAACCATCTTTTTGAATGTGTATATAACATTTATAAGTGATGGAGCTTTATATACAAACATGCACACCCAAGTATCACCTTTTCCAAGAAAACCACTGTTTTAGCACTTAGTACCGTTTGTCTATGAAGTGATAATGACTGTGTAATTGCCTAATGTCTGGTCTTACAAACACACACACACAGTCGTTGTGAAGTGGACATTCCCGAAGGTTAAACCAATGTTTTTTGTCACACACTTCAGTGGTAAAAGGCTATCATTATACCTCTTAGCATGTGTGTGAGTTTCTTCTCGGCCCTGTCCCTGGCCTCAATACCACACTGTTCCTGTTTGAGCGGTCCGAAACATCCACACTTCTGTATGCCATAGATCGTTGAATCTTTTTGTGTTTTCTTCCTCATCTGCCTGTAGCTGTGTGTTCTCACTTCTGCAAAAAAAAAAAGCAGAACCTGCAAGTCTACATTTTTTTTGAATCGGTTGATAATTACAGGCTGTGAGTTTTGATGCGTTGATGAAATGTTAACGTCCGATAACGAGTTTTTGTCTGAGCGTTATAAGCCAAACCGCACCATTTCCCTGAACTGTTAATTAGAAATGACAGATGCAGGGTGTGGCATAACTCCCGGTTCTGTAGTAGCCTGAACATTAATTGTCTGTGACAAATGTGCCTAGAAAAAGTTTGCAGTGTGAAATTGACTTTGCTAGTTGTTTTTTCTCGCTTTGAATAATATACAGATGTGCGATTATTATGTGAACAATTCACTACCATTTAACAGTTTGGGTTGGTAAGCTGTTTGCAAAAGAAGTCTCTTGTGCTTAACCAAGGCTGCATTTATTTGATCAAAAATACAGCAAAAAAGTCATGTTTCCCATGATCCTTCAGAAATCAGACTCTAATCTGCTGATTTGGTGCTCAAGAAACATTTTTATTATTATGAATGCTGAAAACCGTTGGTCTGCTTAAAGGGGTCCTATTATGCTTTTTCACTTTTTGAATTTTAGTCAGTGTGTATGTTTGGGCATAAAAAAGATCTTCAAACTTACAAATCTCAAAGTCCACTCCAAAGGGAGATATTTCGTAAAAAAAAAAAAATCTCTTTTCAAGAACTACAACGAGCGGCTCGTTTGGACTACAGAGTTTGTTTTCCGGGTTTTGTGATATCACAAAGCGGCACATTAGAATATCATTAAAATAATTCCCGCCTATGGAAATTCGAATGGTTGGGGGGTGGGGAGGGGCGAGGTCGTGGTTAGAACGCTTGGTTGAGTTCATCAGACAAGACGACGACGAAGAAGTGCTGCTGCAGCCTCAAGTTTTCGCAAGTTATTACACATGCACCCAGGGGCGTGTCTACGTGGTGGCCAGGGGTGGCACCGGCCCCCACCTGAAATTTGGCTGGCCACCCCAGGTGCCCCCCCTACCAAATGTCTTGCCATAGGCTTGTTTTTAGTACATTTCTAATTTTAGGCGGTTTCTATAGTGTGATCTTAATGATAGTGTCGAGATCCACAATGTATGCGATCCATGTGCGCGAGGACGAATCTCTCCACTCCCAAGCGGATTTCCTTCACTCACACAAAACTGGACGTGTGCTTTTAACATACATCGTTCCGCAAACACCCCCCGGCCACCCTGTTTTGAGTCAGTCCCCCTGACTGCCCC